GTGTGTGTGTGTGTGTGTGTGTGTGTGTGTGTGTGTGTGTGTGTGTGTGTGTGTTTTGCTGGGGTTTAAACTAGTCCTCTGCATTCTTCAAAAGAACTCTAATAATAAACTACATCTCTAGCTTAAGAGTAAGCCTTTGTTTAGATCACTGATTTTAAACATAGAGACGGAGGAAAGACAATAAATTTTCAATCTTTTACCCTTCAGATAAACCACCATTTGCCAGCCAGTGAGTCAGCATTTGAAGTCATATCTGACTCTAAATCAATTACTTTACCACCCTGTGTGGCCACAATAGCAACATGGTCTCATAGAAGTAAGCTTGGATCTGGAGATGTGCACACAAATCTTAATCACCTTGCTTGTCTACTAGGTCTGTGTCCTTGGAGAACTTAAACTCAGAAAGCCTGAGTTTCTGCACCTTTAAATGAGTATATTAGAACCTACTTCTGAGGTCCATTGTGGAGGTCCATTAGAAATTCTTTAAGATTTTATTTTTATTTATTTTTGATTCTTGAGACTGGGTCTCTCTATGCAGCCCTGGCTGTCCTGGAGCTCACCATGTAGCCCAGGCTGGCCTCAAACTCAGAGATCCACCTGCCTCTGCCTCCCAGTATTGGGATTAAAGGTATGTACCATCACTCCTGACCAAGATTTTATTTTTAATTACATGTCTCTCTCTCTGTGTATGCCATTGGTGTGTAGATATCCAAGACTAGAAGAGAGCACTGAACCCCAGAGCTGGAGTTAAAGGTGGTTGTGAGCCACCCAACCTGGGTGCTGGAAACTGAATTCAGGTCTTCTGGAAGAGCAGCTAGCACTTTTTGCCACTGAGCTATCTCTACAGTCCCAAGTTTAGAAATTTTTACACACATAAAGGAACCAGGACATAGTGAACACTCAAAAATGGTTATTAGATTGCTTACTGCATTCTAGGAATGAGGTTCTTGTGCAGCCCTTGTGATGAAGGAGCGAGCCTGCGCTAAGTTAAAGGCACATCCTTTTTATTGAGCTCCAAATATGCTCAGAATGTGCTCAGCTCCACTAGACATCTAGCATTGACTCAGACATCTTCCTTTTCTTCAGCTCCCAGCTCCCCTCCCAGTCCCTGCCCTAGATCTTCTAGGGACACTTAACCTACATACTCGACGAAGTGTGGGCATATTTACCTTTGTAGCTATCAACAGCCCTCAACTTTAAGAAGGATTAGGGTCCTTTATTATATGAAGTCTCTAATAATTTGAAAAATAACCAATGTCCCTTTTCATCAAAGTATCATTAGAGGACATGGAAATATAGCTGCTTGTTGTGCCACTCCACATGCAAGCATGTTATGGGTTAGGGTGGCTTTTATAAGCCAATCTCGAAAGCAAGCTACCTGTTACCCAGTATTCTTACTGAAGTTCCAAGTGCCAAACGACCTATTGAACGACTCTGAAAGTCAACCGAATTGTAACTTAGAAACTACTTATCCCATGGTTTTCTTCCCAACTAGTTTATACAGCACTTGGGAAAAGGGAGCACATATTTTAGTCTTTGATTCTTAGTGTTTTACTATAACAGGTGCTGTTTTAAAATGTTTTGTTTTTATGTGTTTGTCTGCATGTACTTATGTGCATCACATGTATGTATGGTGCCCAGAGGTAAGAAGAGAGCATCAAATCCCTTGGAACTAAAGTTCCTGATGGTTGTGAACCACCTCATGGGTGCTGGGAACCAAACCCTGGTCCTCTGGAAGAGCAACAACTGCTCTTAACTGCTGAGCCGCTTTTTAGTGGAGGTAATGGTATATTAAGGTTGCTTAAGCAATAGAGTGGGAAAGAATCTTTGCCTAATGAGACTTCTCTTTTTAGGGGCTGATGTTCACAGCCAGGCTTCTGATTCCTCCTCCATTTTACTTGAAGCCGTTAGAGGAGGAAATCCAGATTCTGTGACTCTCTTGCTAGAGTATGGAGCTGATGCCAACATTCCTAAAAGTTCAGGCCACCTGCCCATTCATGTGGCAGCTGACAAAGGCCACTTATTGTAAGTTCAATTCTGTAATTCTAAGTAACAGGAAATAGTAATAACTAATTTTTTTTAAAGAGCTGCTTGGGAAATATGGGAAATCTTGGGTCTCAGGTGATTTGGCTAATTCAGTTTTAACCTAAACAGTAGTTTTATTAAATTTTACTTGACATCTGAGTTTCTTGAAGAAACTAGCCCTTTTGGTAGGGAGTCTAAATACCACCTGATTAACATATACATTCAATGTAGGGATAAGAGGATCATAAACAGGTTAACTCTGCACTGTAACAACCTGAGTACATTTTGAAATTTTTTTCCCCAGAGCTCTAAAGATGTTGGTTCCAGTTACAGATATTACTGCCATCAAGAGGAGTGGGATAAGTCCAGTTCACTGCGCAGCAGCTGGAGCACACCCCCAGTGCCTGGAACTTCTCATTCAGGCTGGATTTGATGTAAATTTCATGCTGGATCAGAGAATCCGTAAACATTATGATGATCAAAGGAAGTCAGCCTTGTATTTTGCTGTTTCAAATGGTGATCTCTCTTCTGTTAAGCTGCTTCTGAGTGCTGGAGCTCTACCCAATCAAGACCCAGTCAACTGCCTACAGATAGCTCTCAGGATGGGCAACTATGAGCTCATAAGTCTACTATTAAGGCACGGGGCCAACGTCAATTACTTCTGCAGAGTTAACCCTTTGCATTTCCCATCAGCACTACAGTACTCACTGAAAGATGAAGTCATGCTCAGGATGCTGTTGAATTATGGGTATGACACAGAGCGATGTTTTGATTGTCCTCACGGGGACAGAGTTCATCGCTTTTGTACTTTTGAAGGCTGGACATCTACAGTTATTAAAGACACTATGGTAAGTCCACGGTACTGGTGGTATTCCCTAAACGTTACTGTCTGTAGCCTTGGAACAATAGACACAATATGCCCTTGGAAAAGCTCATGTTGGGAAGACTCTAGTATGATATATCATAAAATAACTAAACCTAACAGTGGGGAGATGTAAGAAGTACAGAAATAATTCAGAGGAGAAAGTGACTTTAGTCAGAACTAAGAGGACATTTCACAAGTTCAACACAAGAGCAAGGTTTTAAAGAATGCACACAATCTTGTATTCTAGCTACTTTTTCTGTGAATTATTTATTTGGCTAAAATGTTTCTAAGTTCCCCATACCCATAATCACTGTGTTTCTTTGGCTCGCTTTCACTTAGTTCTCAAACTTGATCAGCCCATTTCCTTTTGCCATCTTTCTGATGAAGAGAGACTCACACAGCAGTCTCTTGGTTTTGCCTTACCTCCTCTGCTATTTCCTCACCTTCAACTTTTTCCAGAGCTTTCAAGTGTCTTCTTCCACTTTTCAGGTCTTATTCAAGTGTCCGCTCCTACAGGCCCTTCCCTATCCACCTTACGTAGCTCCCTCCCTCAATCAACTCACTTATTATGGAGACTTCCTTTATAGCATTCATCTAGAATCATCATTTAAATTATTCTGCATCTCCTCAAAATGTATGAACATCAGCTCTTGTTCATTTTGTTTCCTTGGCTTTTATGTCTGAGCTTAGCATACAGTGGATGCTCTATACATACCTGAATTTATATTATCAAAATTTGAAAACAAGGGCTGGACTGTGGTAGTGCACACCTTTAATCCCAGCACTTGGGAGGCGGAGGCAGGTGGATCTATATGAGTCTGAGGCTAGTCTGGTCTACATAGTGAGTTTCAGGACAGCCAAGGTTACACAAAAAAACCCTGTCTCAAAACATGCCCCCCCCCCAAAAAAATTTCAAAACAAATAACATGGTTAATGGAAGACTTTGAAACAGTTTGATGAAGTGAAAGGTTTTATTTTAGGTAATAAGGGTACAAGTTACTTTACACATTGATCTGGCGTTTAGGCATACACCATCTGGTATTATTTCCCAAACAGCTCCTATATTATAACTTCAACTCTCACTTTGGCATCTTGTGTAAGGGCACATAAATTATTTAAAGACAGAAACTGTCATATTGTTCTAGCATCAGGATCAGATTTAGGTTCTAAATAACAGAAAATGTAAAAAAAAAATAAAAGCTTTAATAAAATGCCAGCTGGGCATGATGGCATACAGAGTCCCAGCTACTCAGGAGGCATTACTTGTGGCCAGCCCGAGCAACCCAGTTAAGACTCTATCTTTAAAAAAAAAAAAAAAGACTAGCAAGATGGCTCATCAAGTTAAGGTGTTTAACACCAAATCTAATGACCCGAGTTTGATTCCTAGAACCCACATAGTGGGAGGAGAAAACCAACTCCAGAACATTGTCCTCTGACCTCAATATATGCACAGGCATGAAGACACACATACACTAAATGTTTTTTTTTGAAAATAACCAAAGTGTCTCATTCTTTTCTCTAAGAACCAGAACTAATTTATCCTCCAACTAGACAGTTTTGTGTTTCACAGGAGAAACACACACCCATACTCCAGCTGGCCAGCAGGCTCCATGTGTCTACCCTTTCTTTAAGGGTATCTGGGTATCTGTGCAGACTCCCACTCACATCTGACAGCTAGAAAGCCATCTCTGTTACAGACAACCAAGCAACAAACATACGGACCAATCTGTCAAGCCTCGTTACCTTGTGGAGTTCTAAGGCCACCTGAGATCAGACAAGCTAGTGCCCGAGTTTAGTACTCTTCATGACTCTGCTACCCTACAGATGCTCAGTGCTTTTTCATTTGCTTTCTGCTTGTTCTCCTCTCAGTTTTGTGAAGTCATAACTTTGTCATGGCTACAGCATCTCTCTGGAAAAGTTGTTCGTGTGATGCTTGATTATGTTGATCAAGTTCAAATCTGTTCAAAATTGAAATCTGTGCTTGAAAAACAGAAGCTCTGGTCAGAAATACATTTTATCTTGAGTGAGTATCTTTCTTACAGAAAATTCCTACCAAAACATTTATCTTCATTTTATTTTTAGAATATTCTTCTGAATAAAAGGTTGACCTAAAAAGAATAGAAAAATGCCGTTCTTTTACAACAGTGCTATTCATAACTACACTTAATGTGTGCTTATCATCAATTCCCATCAAATGAAATCTAATTACTTTCTTGTAGATAGGTAACACTACTTCCTCAATCCATTTAACCTATTGCTACGGAAACAATATTCATCCAGGAATTATAAGTTATGAATTGGCAATAGCAAGAGGGAAAGCTAAGTTCTAACCCTGTAGCATATAAAATGAAGCTCCCTAAATGAATTCTCTTGTCTGCATCAAATTAAGATTTTCTTAATCTCGTTTCTCCCGGAGTCTTTGAGCTTTCAGCCAAGAGATAAGATGGGGAAGCTGATATTTAAGTACTTGAAGGATTTGGGAGTCTCACAAGCCAGACTCACAATTGATGTGGTTCTGAAACTATCCTCATGGAAGGCTGTGATGAGAACTGAAGAGCTGTTTCCCTACAGCCAGTATGGCAAACAGAAATGTTATTAACACAGATTATCAAATACATTTGCCCACTAAACCCTCAGGTCACCAAAAAACACAGCAATTCCTTTTGTTTCAGCAAACCCTCGTTCTCTACAACACTTGTGTCGCCTTAAGATCCGGAAGTGTATGGGACGGTTCCGTCTGCGCTGCCCCGTCTTCATGTCATTTCTTCCACTGCCCAACTGTCTAAAAGCTTATGTCCTTTACAAAGAGTATGACCTTTACGGACAAGGAAGTCTTACAGGAGCCTGGTAACTGACCTATTCTGGAGAAAAGAAGGTATAACCTGCAGCATTTTCTTCACAATTGACTTATTGTAAATGACTTGTTCTTCACTCAGTAATTAAAACTTCGGTGTAAGCTCCATCATTTACAGTTGTTCTGTGTGGTATACCCCTCTATGAGCTGTTCAGAGAGGTTCGGAAGTCCCGAATAACACAGGTCATTGTCCTTGCTCCTGACTGCCCACCATGACTTCATGGTGAGACACCATTGCTAAAGACATGACATACTTTGGTTGCAGGACACAAAGATATCAAGAAACGAGCTAGAAGTTTCCTCCTTGCTGGCTAGCTTTTCTAGTGCTGGAGTTGCTATGCAGGCATCTGAGGGTGGGGTAGGAGACTCATCACTGTCTAACCCAGCTGGAGACTCTGCACGCTACAGTACTGAGCTGGCAGGCAAAATGTGCCCCTGATGTGATGGGCTAACCAACTGCTCTCTGATTGGATTTGAGACTCACCCCACAATAAGGAATTCATGCCTAGTACTATATACCTGGTTTGTTTTTGTTTTTGTTTTGGGGGAATGTTGGTGTTGGTGGTGTTTTTAAAGCCCCAGATTGCAGAGGTCATAAGCCCTAGGAAGGATCCTACTGATATTTTGCTAAATTAACTTGTTCTCAAACTGCCTCTTAAATACATTATATTCATACATTAGTTATCTCAGCCTTGATCAGAGATGTTTCTTTTTTCGGTAGGTGTCAATTAAGGTAAAGACTTGTAACTGGTGAAAATGCTAATAACAACCAACTACTGAGTGCTCAGCCTTAAACAAAACAGTCATAATATCCCCCTCTGGGGCTCAAAGGACACGGCAGAAGAAGGAACAGAAAAACTGTTAAGAGTCTGGGGCTGGAGAGATGGCTCAGAGGTTAAGAGCACCGACTGCTCTTCCAGAGGTCCTGAGTTCAATTCCCAGCAACCACATGGTGGCTCATAACCATCTGTAATGAGATCTGGCGCCCTTTTCTGTATACATAATAAATAAATAAATCTTAAAAAAAAAAAGAGGTTAAATTCATCTATTAAAAAAAAAACTGTTAAGAGTCAGAGAGAGGATGCTATGAAATGCTGTACATGGTCATCGTGATCTCATCATCTCACAGAAACTTTGGGCCCGCCAGCATTCCATTGTGGTGCCAAAGGGGAAAAGCGCTTACCACATCAGCCTGATGACTGGAATTTGACCCCCAGAGCCCAGTGGTAGGAGAAAAATAACTCTAACAAGTTGTACTCTGATCTCCACATAAGCGCACGCGCGCGCGCACACACACACACACACACACACACACACACACACACACACACACACTTCTCTCTCTAAATGAATAAAACAAATTTTAAAAAAACCCATCATGGATCAGGGAGGGCTCATGAGGCCCCACCACTCCTCAAGGAGCTACTGGTAATTAACAGCTGCTGAGGGAAAGGAGAGTAGCTTTCTCCAGTGGTTTAACCCTGGGAAGTTGTCCATCCTCCAGTAAGTTACTTACTTGTTACATTTGCACTGCCCTGTCTTCATACTCACGCAAGCAACTCTAATTACTAGTGAGTCAAATAAATAATAAAAGTAGAAGGGGAACTTATTAAGGGGAAGAAGGGGCTCAGCAGGAATGGAAGGGGGATAAGAGGAGGTGATGGGGTAAATATAATCAAAATATATACATGTGTGATTGCCAAAAATAAATTTCAAATTTTTAAAGTAGCTTTGAATATAGTTTCTCAACACATGGCTAGAACTGAAAGGTAATTAAAAATCAAAACCAAAACCTCAGGCAAGTGCAGTGGCACATGCCTGTAATCTAAACTGTTCAGGAAGTGAGGTGGGAGGGCCTCAAATTCAAAGCCATTTTAGGCTACTAGGCTTGCCTCGGGAGCCAGCAGATTTCAGGTAACTGAAACACACCCAGTTCTAACTGTGTACTGGTCTTACAGTAAGTGTATGAATCAATGTCTTTGCACTCAAAATAACAGGTGACACTTCCGACGGTTGTTTTCTCTCATTTCTGCTAACCTGGAACTCATAGAGATCCACCTGCATCTGCCTCTTGGAAGGTAAGATTAAAAGTGTGCACAACCATACCTGGCCATGACTTTTGTAATCTTTTGACAGAAAATATGTCTTCTGATTCAACTGAGCAGAAGAACCCCATTACATGACCTAGAAACTAGCAGCCCATGTGCTCAAATGCCAGTCAGCTGACATTTCTTTATAGTCAAGTACACAGACAGGGTCATTTAGAACTCTGAATTGAAATTCTATCACTGATGGGAAAAACATTTGCTGAGGCCTCTGCAAGTGGCACATTAAGCTGCGTGGTGGATTTAGCCTTTGCTAGTACAAAACAAAAAGAGGTTTCTGGGCTACACGCTGCTTGGATAAAAGCACAGACCCATGATGGCTCCCAGAGCTGG